TGAATACCGCATCACCGAAGATATGCACAAAGAACAAACAACAAAAAATGTTAAATCAGTAGTAATCCAACAACAAAACCTCATTTAATCAGACGAGAAAGAGAAAATGTCTGCAGATGCAACACTTGTTTCCAGGAGAAGCAGTGGAACATCCCCGCAGTGATATATACAATTCTTCTACAAAGACTGAATCCCTCTTTTAGCAGAGTCTGCGAGTTTGACCTTTAGAGAAAAGGTTAAAGATGAAGGACAGAATATCCAGCTCTGCAAAGCTCGCGGCATACTTAATGACCTGGTGTGTGCATTGTTAAACTTTCTAGTACAATTTATACGAAGCCGGAAAAATGAGTTTCTACAGCGTACCTATCATACAGTTTATTCAATATTTTCACTAATTACCCATTCAGTCTTTGATAGCAAACTGGTTCCCTGAATACAGATAGTGTGAGTTTGTCAGAGGAGGGGGAATCATGCTGGGATCCCTGACAATTCAAAGAGACCTTTAGAAACAAAGCAACTTGAAACTTCTTGCCTGCCTTCTGCATAATGATTATGACTCTGCAGGAGAGAGAGGGGTCACTTGATTAGGATTTGAAGAGTTTAGAAAGGTTTCGGCTTAGATTCTTGCAGAACTCTGGTCAAAACCAATTACACTTCTGAAAGAGGGAGAGTAAATTATTTAATACGTGAAAACTAAACTTATCCACCAGATACAGTCATTAACTAAAGTATGTTGTAGCTGTCAATCGAACTCCGCTTCACCGCGAACTGTAACATGTAGCCTGAGACACTCTTAACATTTACTGCACTTCGTTTGAGAGTAACTTCATGTATAAACTTTCGTCAGTTTCGTCTCTGAAAAAGTTTCTGCAACACCGCAGGTTACGTTCAGCGATATTACTGGCAAGACTTCAGTGTTTTTCTCTGTTGCTTTGGTGCATTTCTGAACTGAAATTCTAAAAAACTCTTTGTTCAACCTCCACATTACCAAGTCAGTGTTTTTCATTCTTCTGAACAAACGGCAAATTCTTTGGCACATCCATACAAATGATTATGCACAACTATGTGTTGCCTGTTGGATAATCTTAGACCCAAAATGTCTAGGCATTAGATCCTTCAATAAGCAACTACAGCCTTGTTCAACCATCACAACCCATCAGAGAATGTTTACGAAGTACAATTTTACTGACATCATGGCTGAGCTTTGTGAACATCTGGGTAGCAAACAAGACTTTCTTTTTATTTTCATTCTGATATCACTGACATGTTCATGGACATACTTTTTAAAAACTTTTCAGCAAGTTACAGGCTTTTGCAGACCTGTTGTGTGGAGCTGTTGGTTTTGAGAAATTCAGTTTCTATTTTGCAAATGTTAAGAATGATTTGAAGAAATGCAATAAAGTAACTGAGAAAAACTAATCTTGCCCCGACAATCTGTGCCTTTATCACTGTGAAAGTTGAGTTTTCATTGGCATCTCAGGGTGTAACACATGCAGCATTTTAGAAAACAAAAGAGCCAAAAGTCAAGCTTTAGTTTGTGGATTTTGGAAAGTTGTGTCTGCACAATCTAAAACCAAGAAAACTGTAGTTCTCTGTCATGTTTATGGACGAATCTTGATGCTGAAATGTCAATGAAAGTCTAATGTTCATATGTTGCATGACTTATGAAGGCACCGTTTCAATTAGGGAGTGGTTACTTGCTTTCTCCAATATAGCAAAGCACCTCGGTCTTTGTGCTGGAAAAGTAAGGAATAATTAAGAAACTAAGGATGACTGATATAACTTCCCGACACTGAGCACCATCCACAATGTGGAGCCATTTGTGATCAACCAAACCAATCAATTAAGAATCAGGAGACATGTGCACCCTATTAATCATCGCATTATGTCTTGTAGCTGAAGCATTTTCATGATGCCAAACAGTAGCTTCCATTCAAGTTTAACCAGATTTTTCTATAAATATTCGAAAGAAAATATAATTTTCACTCCTAAATACAGCATAAAAACAAGAGGAGTGAAGGCTGACTGAAAAAACAAGAAACTATATTAGGGTTGAACTCGAGGCTGAGGACTACATCCCTGCAACCCAACAGAAATAATCAGAGTCGGAGGAAAAGTAGCACGCTGCAGTGCTATTTGCAGAGCAGCTACTCAATAGCACAGCACTCACTTTAAGGGTGTCATGTGCTTGTAATTGGCGTCAATAAGCATGTGTGTTCCTGCTGGTAGAATGACAGGGAAAGATCCCCACTGCAGTTTAATAACCCAACATTTCTGTCAATACACCTTTTTGAATGTAGAAGTAAAGCAAAGGGCTAACAAGCTGATCTCGGCCAGCCATTTTTTTATTTTTTTTTTTGCTTTCAACGTTCAGCTCAGAATGCTAAAAAGAACAATCTGTCCATCAAAACATCATCTGTCATCAATTATTCATTGCAGGATTGTCAGCTGAGCTAAAATTCACAAACGTTCCACCCTTGTACATTTGGTTTTTTGTTTCTGCCCATTGCAACACATCTCTGTTGTACGCACTGACAGATCAAGAGCATCACTGCAACTAAAATGACAGGTTTTGTCATCGTTTCCCGGTTAATATCTTATCATAGGTACATGGTGAAAAGAAACTACAATTAATTCAGATTTCTTAAACTAAATCCTTCATATTGTAGAACTGAAACATGCAGAAATACACCGTACACCATTTGTGGACAGTATCACACAGCTCACCAGCCTAACTTGAAACATACCACAAAACTAAATGGATTTGATCCGGTAATGCACCGCATACCTCATTACTGTCTGAAAATTATAGAAGTAGCCAAGTGGAGCCTTTTAGAAAAAGGCTACAAAAATTTCCAATTTATTCTAGAGACCATACCACCCCCGATCTACAAAACCTTTACTGGCTCCCCGTCCACTATCGCATTCATTTCAAACTCCTTCTCATCACCTTAAAAGCCCTCAACAGTCTTGCCCCCTCCTACCTCTCGGATCTTCTCCGACATCACTGCCACACCCGCCGTCTCCGCTCTGTCGACTCCTGCCTCCTGACCCCCATCGTCAGACACCAAGCATCGGACCTTCGCCGCTGCCGCCCTCTGGAACTCCCTCCCTCAGCACATTAGACAACCCAACTCTCCAGAAACTTAAATCGCAGCTCAAAACCCATCTGTTTAATTTCCATTCCTCCCTTGACCATAGTCTGTACTATCCCACCTCAATACTTCATTGTCCTGTTTTTTTGTTTGTTTGTTTTGTCTTTGAGTTTCGTAAAAAGCACTATATAAAACAAATGTATTATTATTATTACTCAAAAAAAAAGTGATTCAACCAACCTGTGGATTACAAATTGCTGCAGGAAAAGGTTAAGCAACAAAGTCTACAGTCCTTCAGACACACAAATCCATCCATCAGTGGCTATTAGCGCCACAGATCAAGTCAGAGCCGTGGATTTAATGAAGACACTGTTGCTGTGTTTGGTGCCTTTTATCCACGCTGTCATTTGATGCGTTTGAAAACACAGATCACTCCTGCTTATGTACTGAGCTCATTTGCCGTGTTCCGTGTCTACGATGTTAGCTTGGCCGAGCTGGAAGAAAAGTAGGTTGAAAGAAGATACGCAATGCGAGGACGTGTGTTGCATACAAATACACCTCAAACGGTAAGATTCCCAGTAAGCCGCTTTACTGCTACAGCTTTTTACTGAACCTATCCTTATTTAAACTATCCTGACATTGTGGAAGCTTATTTTGTGTCCCCCTGCTATAGATAAAAAATAAATAATAGAAAAAATAGATTTAAAAAAAATCTAAAAGATGAAGGGGAAAAAAAAAACACAGTTTGTGAGTTTACCGTGACTCAGTGAGAGGTGAAAACAGTTCATACATTTTGTCAGTAAATAAATGAAGAAAGACACCTCCTAATGGCATCATTGAATACTAATTGTTCTGACTTTTGCTGTCCTAAACAGGCTCCTTGCCGCAAGTTTCATCAGTGTTTAACGGACACTTTTGACTTTGCCTCCTTGTCTCATTTACACATCAGGCAACCGACGCTCCTTTCCAAAGCTTTCGCTGTCACAGTGAAAGACTGCCCTCAGACTATTGTTTCAGATTTCAGATAGTGTGAAAACAAATGGCGGTGGGTGTTAATGCGAGTGTGGTAATGAAAGAGTGTGTTGCGATCACTGTTTACCAGCTGGATAGGTTTAAGATTGGTGGCATTAACATGGCATTAATGGATTTAAAAAGAAAATATTGACATGAAGCCTTAATTCTTAGTCAAGACACCAACATTCACAACCCTTTTAGCTCTATTTTGGATCTCCACCTGCTCCTGAAGGTACAAAAACGTCTTGCTGTTTAGCTCCAATATGCTCAGTAGTTGCTAAATTAATCTGCTGGTTTGCTGGAGATCGATGCTTGTTGGAAAACGTCAAATAAGAGCGATGCTACGTAGAAATGAGAGGAACAGCAGAGTCAGAAAAATGCAGTTAGCGATGGAGCCCTTCAACTGTTGTCATGATGGTTAACAATACAACAAGAAGGCCAAAGTTTTAACCAGCCAGCCCCTCTATGGTTCAGAACATCCCAATTAGAGAAACATGTTCAGTTTCGTCTAAGATCTCTGCGCCGCCACTTAGCTGGAGAACAAGGTCTTACTCGCTATTAGGTAAAGATTCTGACATAATTAGCGTAAAAGAAGAAAAGGGTAAAGGGTGGAGATGCTTGTTTGATGACCTGCGGTGCACTCGAGCAAGCGACTGTACCAATATCTGTACTAATTAGGAAAAGGAAGAAGAATTTAAATCCAGCGGCGACACTGTGCATCAGTACAATACAAATGAAACACATCCTGGGTAGATTTCTCGATCTTTACGGTCCTTTTTTAAAGTTAGTAACCTTTAGAAGTGGAGCACTGCTCATGTAAAATTCAAACAGCCTTGGAGCAGCCTCGGTCTGTCAGTGTCTGTTTGTATCCATTGCGCCATGTGCTCCTACCTGGGAGACAGGAATCGCGGACATTTTGACACGCTGTTGAAAGAGCACGCTCAGTATGCGGTTTTGTTGCTCCAAGTCAAACACTCGGGTCCGCAGCTTCACACACTCCTCTTTCAAGTCCTGAGAAACAAACCAGAAATGGACAGATGAGTGTGAGTGACGGGGACGAAGCACACGTGTATCAGATGCTAATTAAACAGCCGCAGGTCACAGCACTGTATTTATGTAGGATACACATGATGCTGCTCTAAAATCCAGACTTTTTTTTTTAATGTTAACAACACGACAGGAAAATATTAGAAGCATTTTGTGGGTCAATCCTCTCATTGCTTTTGTTTATTTGAATTTCAGTTTGCTTTATTTAGAACATAAATACACTGTTGTCCATAAAGTTGGAATAAAATATATTTTTTACCTCTTCCCATGGAATGATTGTGACATTTATTCATTAAGTGCATATCTTCCTAAAACTTTATTGATATCACAATATACACACAATTGTAAAAATTAAACCACAATCAACTTTTGCAAACTGTGTATTCAGGCTTGTACAAAAGTTGGGGCTATTGAACAATAGGATTAAAGGTTTTGTTTCAATTTTTTTTATCAATATAACAGGAAAGACATATTTGAAGAATGTCCACTATTACTCCTTCAAATGCCACTCAGTCATTAATACTGAGTATGGCCACCCCTGACACGGATCAATGCGTTAAGACATGGTGGCGTACTGTCCACCAGCTTGGTGGTGGAGTCAATGGGCAGGACGTCCCACTCTTTGGTCACATCCCAAAGTCTGAATTAGTTTCACCTGGTAACTGGGACTCAGTATGTAATCACTGCACCTGGTCAAAAGTAACTACTGATGTGTAGAAATAGAAATAAAATGAGGAATGTGTCTGAAAACAAAAGTTATTCCAACTTTCTGGGCAACGGTGTATATGTGTTATGTGTCATATTGTCTCTAAGTTCTTACGAGGACTACATTCTCCAAGATTTCACATGATTACTCCATTCTAAGTGTTTCTCCATGTACATGCTTCGTCCACTTTTCTCTGCATGTTTTAATACTATTCTGTGCTGTAAAGCAATCCAGCGATTCACGCTTAACAAGGATGTTGTGATTAAAAGAGAAGGAAGAAGGTAATTGTTTTGCAAGTCTGAAGTCAAGACCAACTGGTCCTTGGTCAAGTCCAGTTGGTTTCACACCACTTTGAAAATATTCTAGTAAAATAAGAATGATGAATTTGCAGAAACTATCAATGTTTTTATTCTTACTTCGACACAGTTACTGTCTAATTTCTGTGTAAAAAGCTTCGTAATGCTGCTGTCTGTTTTTTTTTTCCCCCACATCTACACGGGAAAATACTCGAGCTGTTATGTGGTGGTTAAAACAATGATCAGTATTCTTTGTATTGGCTGAGCGCAGCCCGCTGTGTGATGGAAACCCTCTAAACATGGACTGGGGCAATAGTTCATGTCCACAAGTCTCCTTCCTCTCATTACTATGCATGTTATTTGGTTCAACACTGTACCGCACAACGTTTCTAGCTTCCACACTTCAAGTATTAAATTGTCAGTCTTATCTAAATATTTTATTTTCAAATTATTAAATGATTCCAGATTAAAATGAATCATTTGTCGGTCCACGATGTGATCTTGTTCTTCCGCTGAAGGTACACAGTGTAAAATTTCAAATGACAAATTTTAATAATATCTATTTAAGGTAAGCTAATGTCAGGGTTCACAGTTCCATCATTCTTTTAGCAGAAATAATTATTTGAGTAAATATATGTGTGATGTTGTTCCTTTTTTCATGAATGGCTTTTTAAAAATTTTTTTTATATATACATCTATACACATCTATAAATGTGTCTATAAAAAAGTAATAAATGTTAAATGTTCACATTTTGGCACCAGGAACCATCAAATGACATTTTTGCATCATCATCAATTCACTTAATTCACAAATCAGCAGAATGAATTTGCAATGCAGCGAATCACGATGGATTCTCAGTATTTAGCGTGTTCTCATATGGACACGAGGACATTCAAAAAAAGCTCACTTTTATTGTAGACAGTGGTTTTCTTGATGTCATATGACTTGAGTTCACACTTCTGTATTAAAGTGTTCTGCTACAAGTTGCATGATTACGAGGAAAGACACACGCTTATAATCCTTTTTTATGTTCATCATTATGACGGTCATCATTGACTATAATGGCTGACTGAATTAATGACGCTTTGGTACTGCAGAGAGAAAGACAAACCTTTTGCGTGAGCAGGGCCTGGACCACCTGGTTAGCCACCTGAGAAAGTGAAAGAAAAGCAGAAAAAATATCTGTAAAACGTATTACGAGTTTGGTCACAGTGGGCTTTCAGAACTTTGTTTCGTGCTTTGAGACACAGCGAGACTGTAAATGAAAATGACCTCATACAAACGCCATCAGTGAGCATTCAGAGGCATGTAAGATGCTGCGAGGACAAATTGGCAGCGTGTTGCATCACAGAGTCCGACATCATACAGCTGCAACTTTATCCTCAGAATATAAAATATATATCTCCAGTTAAAAAACCAAAACAAATGTCTCTTTCAAAGAACATAACTTCACTCCCTGCTAAACGCATGTTGCTGCCTTGATCTAATTATGAAAAGACTGACCTAACTTTTGCTGTTCTGTATGAATTTTTACAGAGACAAAAAAAAAAAGGTTTATTTTTGTGGCTAGAAATAAGCACAAACCGAAATGCTTTCTTTCCTGCTTATTTTGATTTCAGAAGTGGAAGCATATATTATATCTTGACACTGGAATAACAACTATGTTTCCACTTTTTTGTGCCGCAAAATGATTTCCCCACCACCTCTTTCATCTTTCCATCAAAACCAATCGCCTCAGCTCATTCAAACCATGACAGGAAGTCTTCTGAATGCTCCCCCGTTAAAAAAAGAAAAGAAAAAAAAAGAAAGAAAGATTCATGTGCATAATAAGACTGAAAAGCAGCAGAAGAGAAATTAATCCCACAGCAGAAACTCTGAAATTTCCATCCTCAACCAGAAATATGTTAAATTCTCATGGGCAGAAATCTCTATGGTAACAAGGCCATTAGTGAGGGCTGCGGGAAAAAAAAAATAAAGTGGCAGAATGGTGGCAGCTGGAAGAAGATGGAAGGAAGATGGAGAGACTTTCAAAGTGTTGTCAGGGAGAAGAGGGAAGGAGTGCGGTTAGACTACCCACAGGCTCCTGAACGCCAAGGCTCGCTCCTCCAGCTCTTATTCTCACATCGCCAGGAGCTCTGCGGTGAGTCCACTTCCATTACAGATGCTTCCTTCTCCAGGTTTCCCTCTACGGACTTCATACATACTGTAGATAACAGCCTGAGTGTGCATGAGTCTCTGTCGCCTCCACGTCCTGAACACCAGATAACTTTGTCTGGCCTGACGTTTGAATTTAAAGCCATGTATGTCATTATTTTAGGGGTGAAGGAATCATATTGACTGTCTTTTCTAAACAGCTGTAAATAAAGTAGGAAGCCATATTAGCCTAGCTTAGCATTAAAACTGAAAACCAGCTAGTCTGGTTCTAATCAGAGAAAGTTCCAAATCAGCAGCTCTAATGCTCACTAATAACCAAACGGTATCTTGTAAAGCTACAGTTTGTTTTTAAATTTTAGATGAAATGTGTTTATGAGCTTTAGAAGTCTTTGTATTTTTTCCACTTTGGACAAAACCAAGCTATCAATTTCCCTTTGCCTCCAATCTAAATGCTAAAACGAGCTAACCACATCCAGACTTCACCTTACTTAGAAAATTACCTTTTGTTTGCTAAAGGACACACAAAAAGATTGACAACACTCTCAGGCTTATACATATAAAGCCAAAGGGGATAATTATTTTAACTTAGAATAAATGTTAACAGCAAGAGGAGACAACAAATGTAGTTCATGAAAGCTTTGCAACCCACTCGCCATCGTTGCTTGATGCTAGCAGCTCAACGCCACATTAGCGCAACACGCTAAATCGTCAAGTCAGCAGAACGGGCAACGGATGTACCGGGTTCTCACCAGAGAGTGCATAAAAAAGTTGCAAACGTGATGTCACCCATTGCTTTTGTGGATGATTTTAAAGCCTGAAGTTTGGATTTGGGCTGACGCTACTATAGTTTTTTTTTAAACAAGACGAAACAAGCGAGTGGCGGATCTGATTGAGAACTTGAGGATGGTGACCTTAGTGACCCTTCAATAACAATGCAGCCTGCTCCGTTGTCTATTTTATTCTAAATGGGGCCATAATTTACCAAATGAACACCATGTTGTATTAAAGGAGACTGAAAACTAGTGACTGAAAGGTCATTAGGAAGACGTTTACTGAGGTAACACATCAAGATATATAGAAACCAATAACATAACGGCCGATAACGTAATAAATTTTGCATTGTAAAAATGTAATAGGCCAATAACGTAATAAAAGTCCTACACCGACAACGTAACAACTTTTGGCTTTTTGGTTATTACATTTGCAAAGACTTTTTTTTTTTTTACCAGGCCAATAACGTAATAATTTATTACGTTATTGGCCAAAAGATAATATGTTATCGTTTCAGGACTATTATTACGTAATTGGCCAGTTATTACGTTATCGGCCTATTACATTTTAAAAAGTGAACATTTATTACATTATTGGTTTCTACAAGGCTGCTTTCTCAATACAATTTGAGGAGAAGCAAACAGTGGCCATTGTTGCTAATGCAAATCAGTACACAGATGAAATACATCCTAATTCTACATAAATACTAAATGTGGAACTTCACTGTAGTCTACCATAAATGATGTTTGTTCTTGAACATGCAGTGAGAAGACTCACCTCATCCAGACAGCGTTCATACTGCTTCCTCTGGTTGTCGTTCTCCATCGACAGAGCAGAGTTCTCCACCTGTAGAGACACAACACACACACGAAAAGTGTATAAAATGCAGCAAATATATTTGAATGTGCTGCCATGTTAGTGCTGAAATATAATTTAGAAAAACTTGTGACACTGAGACAGACACACAGGACAGATACTTCGGTTAATTCCATCAAAAACAAGTCGGCAATATGGAAAATGTCAGCTTTAAATGCTATTTTCTTATTTGTCTCTCAGATGGACGGACACACAGATAACTGAATAGACAAAGGCTCTCTGCCAGCAGCACTGAGAGGTTTGTGGGTTCACTGGAAAATGATGGTTTTAAATAAATGATGCATTAAATTTTCAAGCATATAAGCTCCATCCTGCAGACTCCCAGTGTGTCTGTAGGGCTGACTTGAGGTTCCCCAGGTATAATTTAATTACTGACAGAGGTTTTGCCCGACAGGGAACAGAAGCCTTTCTGGGAACTCAGAGGGTGAGTTTCCACTGAAATGATTAATCCAGTAAATCTTAAAGGCTAGGCCACCTGTGCTAGCTTGTTTTCACATAAACGCTGTGGGCAAACTCTTCACAACAACAGGTTCACAGAAAATCACAGAAACGGCTGATCACAGGAGCGAGCGGGGTTCAAAGAAGAACTCACCCCACGCGGCTCAACGCCGTCTTAACTCCTCCGCAAGGCAACAGCCAGAGACGATCACCACCACAGTATCACAAGCTGCTTCCATAACTGGCTGCTGAATGATACTTGAAATCATAATAGCTTGGGACTACTCACAATGAAGCACACGGCTGTATAGTTTTCTTTGACTCAGTCTTTTCTTATAGGAAGGAAACTTAGGAGTGTTTCAAAGGCCACAGATCAGCCTGGAGGCTTACAGGCAGCGTTTGTGTAAAGGTCAGGGAAGTCCAAGTTCTGAGACTGAATTTGAAGTGGTTGAGCCCTTATTTAGAACACGGTGTGTGAGTTCACACTTGGTATTGCAGTCGCCGTATATCCCCTTTACAAATGACCGTTATTGATTAACATCCTACGCAGCAGCCTGCAAGTAAAAACACTTTTCAAATGTCAATCTATATTAGATTCAAGCTTAAAATCAACCTTAAACTGTTTTTGCACTTGCAGGATATACTGCAAAAATGATCTTTCTAATAAAATAAATCACGTTTAGGTGTTTGGTGGCTTACAGACTCGCTCCTTCATCCTTGTTTTTGAACAATTAATGTGGCTGATCTACTGGGAGAGCATTGCATCAGTCACTGTTTTAACTGTTAAACTCCACTAAAAATTACCATTAGGTGGAGAAGCTGAGAGGAGTCTGCAATACGTCCTCAATCAAAAAGCGGGGCAACCTCACTGTTTTTATTATTTATCTTCTCACTCATATTTATGGTTTTCGCATCAAATATTTCATTTTTTTATGGTAGATTATATGGAAGTGTACCCAAGTGTGCCATAATCACTGGAAAGTAGTTTTAAACTAAATGGAAAACCAGCTAATGTTTCTCCAGTTTGGCATTAAAGTTTAATTACAATGTGGATAAAATAAAGGCAGCCACCATGAAGAGGCAACAGCATAAGTTCTACAAAATACTCGTACACTCAGAATTATCCATTAGGGTCCTAAATGTAGGCAAGAAAATGGATTTAAGGGACCACTTTGTTTAAAAAGATCATCACTAATGACAGACTGGTTTTACAGGCTATACCTTAAGTACTGGACCATAGTCCTGCCATAGGAAAATTAAATACCACTGAATCATTTCCGGCAGGCATCCATGCTGGTAATTCATGCATAATTACTGCAACGTTATCTAAATGCAGGATGGAACATTAGGCATTTACAGTTGATGTACATATGCTGCATAAAATCAATCACTAAATGTTGAAAATATGTCCGTGCACTAGCTGTTTGGAGCTTAATTTAAATCATTCTTTTTTTTTTGTTGTCTCTATACCCACAGGTTTTCATTCCACAATAAATATCAGCATAATGGCCGATACATTCACATTACTTACATCAGGTCTTGTGCTGCACTTTCAGCTGGACACCATTTCTCAAATTTAAACAGTGTTTCACTGCCACAAAATAAGTGTTTGGCCATAACACAACTCATGACCACAATTTCTCACTGTCGCCTATTTGCTGCAAATTTCCACTTGGACACAAGGATTAACTAATAGAAATGAGGGGGGGTCAGAGGGTAAACGGTCACTGTTGGCTCACAAAACCCATTTTTGGCCAAAACTCAAGAATTCATACGGTAACAAAAAAGGTAAATAGGATCATGATATTTACATCCAAAAGGTCCACACCATTTTATAGAAACACTTATCTGGTGTCTGCTTTCGTCCCATCAGTTTAGGTCAGTGTATTATATAAAATCTGAATACAGCAGTTGGATGCTTTATTCTATCAAATGATGGCCTGTCTGTGCATTGTTTCATGAAACGTCCGTACATTAAATTCACTTTTCAGAAACAAGTTTGCATTCGCGATTTCACATTTTAGCTGAGCATCAATTAGCTGGGAGCTGACGTATTGAACTGTAAATAAACACAGCACAGTGAATTTTGAACAGTAACAAACCATTGTGGAGGTTCTTAGATGTGCAAACACCTTGCGTTTCTGCCATTCCAGGTGTTTGATTAAACAAAGCACCTTGCATCTCCGGAGACCAGCATTATGATGTGACATCCTGTGATGATCACTGTTCACATCTGCACACACCTAGCATCATCACCTACGGTAACACCAGGCTTAATGTTAATTAAAACTCTGAGTTGAACAAGTTCATTCCTGAGCTAATAATAATGGTTACAGTAATGGACAACAAACTTTGCTTCCAAGTCATTAAAGTAAAGCACAACTGTTATCCATCCATCCATTATCTATACACCGCTTAATCCTCACGAGGGTCGCGGGGGGCTGGATCCTATCCCAGCTGACCTATAGGCAAAGGCAGAGGACACCCTGGACAGGTCACCAGTCTATCACAGGGCTACACTTAGAGACAGACACCAAGCACACTCACATTCACACCTACTGACAATTTAGAATCACCAATTAACCTCAACATGTTTTTGGACTGTGTGGGAGGAAGCTGGAGAACCCGGAGAGAACCCACGCTGCACGGGGAGAACATGCAAACTCCAGAAAGATTCCGGTGCCCCCACCGGGATGCAAACCGGCAACCTTCTTGCTGCGAGGCAACAGTGCTACCAACTGCACCACCTTGCAGCCCACACAACTGTTATGACTGATCAAATTTTGCCAAATAATGCAGAGTACAAAGCATCACACTATCACATGCAGCAAAACAAAAACAAAAAAAGAGAGGTGAAGCAGAATTAGTAGGCTGCACTCTGTTTTAGGTGGATTTTTCTTCGAGGCTTTGGAGGAGTTAAAAAAGTGCCATCAATAATGGCTGCCTCAGACCTCTCAGCAGATGGTGAGTTCTATTACCTTTTCAGTGGGGAAGGTGTAACAGAGGGGCGTACTGTACATTCACTGGAACACTGACTCCAAATGTTAACTACCCTGTCAGCCTTTTAATTATCACCTCCTGGATATGAATAACTCCTTTGTCTTCTGCAGCTTCCATGCCCCAAGGACTGCTCTTCAACATAATGGGGTCTCATTCTCGGTAATATTCAAAGATGGATGGAGGCATGATAAAACATAATGATTGTGCTTGTTTATCATCTGCATGTCTCCCTGGCTGTTGTTTTATTAATGAAAGCCGCATATACACTCAGATGCTATGAGTGACATTACAGTGGTTAATTATCATTTGAGATATAGTTATTCTAAACAAGTGAACACGTTGTAGTCCATACGCTAATATGAATAAGCTGCACAGTAACTGTAACTGACATGCTTTGCGGCCGTTAGGGAGATTTGAATTATCTCTCTGCATCTACAGATTTCCCAAATGATTTAAAACCGCCTAGCCTTCAGCTTGCAGTTTTGCATTTTAACACCGCATAATCCGGACTGACGCCACAAAAATGGCATCCTGAAGTCGTAGCACAATTTGCTGACCTCCCGCTGACCTTGCCGTTGCAAAAGTGTGAAAAAAAAGACATACAGCGTGTTGATGTGCATAACGCGACCGAGACAAAGTGTTAGGAATGGCCTTGAACCGTGTGATTTCTCTAATAGACTCTGCCTTCACTGTAATCCCTTCAGGATAAGAAAAAGAAGTGATCAGACTGATTGTCATGGAAGCTGCGCATTCATCCTGAGTCCTTGGAAAAACAGCCTCGTGTTTTGTCCTTAAGCTGCCTACTTATTTTGAGTCTCTATAAAGTGAAAATTGATCGCAAATCGATATGAAGTGTAACACATTTAGTTGCAGTGCCCTCAATATATCGATCAATCTGACATTTTAGGAGCAAAGGAGAAGGACACGGGGCACAGGGAAAGTGGTTTGGGGAACGAGGAACAGTTGGCGGACGGATAAGAAGTGGACCATGCAATCCACTTTACCTCCAGCGCTCTGAGTCGCTCTAGCAGGGGATTGCTGTCCTTTGAATTTTCCTCTGATCCACCGCCAGCCTCGGGTGAGGTAGGCATCTCTGCTGCCGTGGCTGTGGGACCCTCCAGACTGTCCTGCTGCTTCCACATTTCCTCCAGGAGTTTGTCCTAAAATGCAGAGAGCAGATCAAAGATGTATGCCTTAAAGTCACAAAGAAATGAAAACTAAACTCTCATATTCTTGTGGGCTCCACTTATAATAGCAATAAATCTCGATAAACAACACACTGTCTGCTGCCAACACTGCATAAATAAAACATCTACTTTGCTTCACTTCAAAGATTTATCAACCCACACTTTTATTATTTACACCGAATCAAATGGCTACATCTCTAGTCCACGTTAATGGAGCTACGCTGATGCTGAATGGAAGAGGCCCAAAAATGGAGCCTTGTGGAGCGCCATGTAATTTTTGTATGCTCAGATTATTGATTAAAACATACAAAGTAGTCCTAATTCTTCAGATATGATAACAATTGGGCTGGTTTATTACTGAAACGAGTAGGACTGAAATTTCGTGTGAGTGATATCAGTTTAGATCACAACAATAAGAATAGAATAGAGTAGAACTTTATTGAACCCTTTGGTGCAAACCTCAGGGAAACTGTTGTAAGACACTCCGTTCTGTGATGTGGTCAAAATCTTGACAGGAATACATGAAAACAATTGTTTGAAACCAGAAATGTGTTGCTGAACAATTGAACAAAAAGAGAAGTTTATCTTGAGCCTTATTGTTAAGGTATTACTGAGTTTTTAGAGCCACAGAAGTGGTGAGCATTGCAGAAGATCTGAAGAAATGCAGTGAAAATATTCTTTTGCAAATCTTAAAACACACTGTTATAAGCTTATAGGTTATCATTTATTCATATCTTAATCATCTATTGATAATGAGTTACTTATATGTTTACTTATTTTCAGAGAAATAAATATTTCCATCATTCAAAACAAGTTAATTAAAAACGCTAATTTCCAACAAGGTTAAGAGCATCACTGAGACGAAGGAAACGACAACTTGTTATGAATTTCTTTTCATAAATAATTGGCAAATTCACTGCATGACTTAAATAAATGAAAGTTCAAGGTGTGTTGACATAGACGGGTTTGGGAGCCTGTCAATGGTATCAAACAACACAAACATCTATGGCTTATTAAGAATTGCCAGCGAACCTGCCATGAAAGGCTTGTAGCAATCAAGAGCACCCAGACAAAATCAACTCAGGCACATAGAGAACATGCAAGACTGTGCATAGAACGGCCCGAGTCAACCAGGAGGCGTAAACCCAGAACCTGCTTGGTGTGAGGCGACGGCACCACGCTGCCCCAAATGATTGCTGTTTTTGACGATGATATCAGAGCAGAGGGGCCGTCGACAGCTCTCTGTTCAAAAGTTTAAATGCAAAGTCTCTCTTTAGCGAAGTCACAATTCACCTGATTTGTTTTTCTCCACTTGAGTCGGATCTCTAAATATGATTTATTAACGTTATGAATGTTTTATCACAGTGGCATTTCTCCATGGCGCTTTTTCCTGACCCGAGTCTACATTTACCTCAGCGGGCAAATTTAGAAGTGAAATTATTTACAAGATCCCTGACTGAAACTGAAGTGGGAGGAGGTGTGAAAAAGGAACGCTGAATAAATGATTGTGGTGCATTTTAAGTGCCTCACAAGGATAGCAATCTCAAAGAAACATGAGAACAATTAGAAAGAACGCCTGCCTTCACCAAGTCAGAAATGTTGAAACCCCTGAGGATTCAGTCCATAGTTATTCAAAACACAACATGATGCTGTAGAGCTGTTCATCTGAGTCCGTCATCATGAATGTTAAAATCACCAGCAATAACTGTGGCGGCTGTGGAAGCATGCAAACTGTACACCGGGGCCATCCTCGAGATGTGCGGGTTAAAATTGGGGAGGTTCCCCCAAGTCCAAGCTTTTGTCAGGAGCGACAAGCCGAAGATGTTCAAGGGTCTTCAAATCAAGTACGTTAGATGCTCGGATCATGTACTAAAGCTTTTGGACAATAATGGGAACATCGCTGAAGAACTCAGCATCAAGTGGAACATGGACAGCATGCACAAGAGAGACAAAATAGACACAAGAGACAAAAGAGTCCAAATGAGCGGTTGGACCCGAAGCACAAGAATCGTAAGGCGAGCCCCGCCACTCCTCACCCCAACACACCCGAAACAACACACGAAAAGACACCCAACACCAAACAGCCCCCAGCACCGCACATCGCAACCCACAAGCCAATGAAGGAGCAACGACTATCAAATCTAAAATGCACGGCACAAAAGAGGAAACTAAATGAAAAAGGAAATTGTAAACTGCACAGTCAAAGTGAATGCAAATCTGAGACAACAACTGGCTAAAGTCATCAAAAACCTTTTCATAGTATTTAAGTGGGCCATAAATGTTTAAGAATGAAGAAAAACATTTTCAAAAGAAGCAAAGTAAAAAATAATGACAATAAAGATGTCCGTTAGTATAGAATAGATAAACTGAAACAGGTATGGGTTTCATGGACATCTGCACTGTAGGTCTAATATTCCCTCCAAAGACATGACAAGATCTTTGGTAAAGCTACATTTACTGTGGTAAAGCAGATTTTGCTCTGCATCCTTCCTGAGACGGTAGACGGGCAACAGTTTGCTGGTGAAGAGAGCGAAGCGTTTAGCAAATCAAACAGAGACTTTTCCCCAGAAACTGGTGGGCAAAATGAAGGACAAAAAAACAACTTTCATTCAACCGGTGGGTAGAAAAAGTCTCCACTGGGTTGCCTGTGGTGCCCTGTGCCTGCTCAATTCTATAATGACCTCTTAAGTGCCGGAGTGTGTGAGCGATTCATGAGAGGAGTCCTTGTTACAGCTTTTAAAGATTCATGTTTTTATGGACAGAGAGCGGCAGCGGCGGCGGCGGCAAAGCAGGAATTGGCAGCGAGCTCAGTGGGAGAGGTCAGATATGACTTTTCATGTCCTTGTGATTATGCACTTTTGAGAAAGTGATTCTGCCGAAGCCTTGGGTTTCTTTGTGTGTTCTTTCGTGTAATGTTTAATCCCAGTTTTCCGTGTTTATTGGCTTTTCTAACTGACTGTGGCTCATACTAGAGACATCAAGTCATCAGAAACAGAACCTCATATTGTAAAAAGCCATGTTTTTCTCCATCTGCCCACTGCTATCAACATAACATTTTAACTACCTGTAAGAGGACCATGGTTGGGTTATTGATATCTAGTGCTTACGTCAGACAATTTGGTGAACATTATGAATTTTAAAGAATCCAGTATAAAGCTGGTAAAAACCAATACAAGCAAACAAATTTCACTGAGCAATCAGAAAGAGATTTGAAAGTGCACAGTAGACATAAATGCTCTCTGATTGGACGAGTATTTCTGTTGATCCAGGCAGACATTCAGCATTACAAGGCTGCTTTGTTTACATACATAAAGCTGAGTGGAACATCTTGAAAGAGTATTTCAGGTTTGCTCCTTAACCGGCACAAATTCCCCATCTGCTCAACAAACGTCCTGTAATGCTCAGTGAAAGCATATGTAGTGTACATACAGTCGTTCTCAAATGTATTCATACCCTTCCATTAAAGAAAAGTCAAAATTCACAATAGTCACTCAAATAACTAGAAACTGAAAAAAGTAATAATAAATAAAAAATTGCTAAATTATAATTTTGTGAAATACGACATTGCTTTTGAATTGGGGTTGAAAAGAATAATTTAAAAAAATAAATAAATAAAAAACTGTCTCGGGCAAATTAGAGCACTTTGCTGATGAGCAGTGAGCCAAAATCAAAATACCTGTCAACAGGTGCAGAAGTCTGACTGAGAGTTACAGAAAACACTTGATAGCAGTGATTGGCTCAAAGGTTGTTCAACAAAATATTAGTTTACAGGTCCCATCATTCTTGTTTGCTTCATTTTTTTGTTGTTGTTGTTGTTTTATATATCTGTTGAACCATAGTTCAGAAGCAATGTCATGGTTTTCATACATTTTTTATTTATTATTACTTTTGTATATGAATACATTTGAGGATGGCTGTACTGTCATTGTGTGTTTGATGCTGCATTGCACTTTAATGAAAAAAGAACACACAAGAAAAAAATTCTTGTTCTTCCATACCGTGGAGTATCATTTATCTAGAATTTTCTTTACAAATTTAGACTTAAATAAAAGCTTTACCTTATTTGAATCATTGAGGGTTAAACATTTTCTGTCCTCATGTTTTCTTTGTTTGCTTGATGAAATATTTGACTGACATCATTTTAATTGCTCTCTGCAATAATGATAAGTGTAAAATTGCAGAAATTCAAAAAAGAGGACCAACGATAGCAGCATTAAAAGGATCGAAGATGGATAAAGCTGAGACCACTAATTCTGAGACTAATTTGCATTTGTCATATGGTTCATTAGTTCTAATGATTTGCACTTTGAACTACACCACATCAACACAACTCATAAATAACATTAGAGCTGATGTTCTGAGGTGTGCGTAATGTGGACATCTCTGTAACACTGTTTACATTGTGGGGGGACTCACCTCCATCAGGGGACACGATGCATGTCTCCATAAGGTAAACTATTTAATTACAGAAGTAATTAAAACAACGCTCACTTTGATGAGACTACGTATTCATTCCACTATCCCTGCCTCATACATTTTCATGGCTAAATATTGATTTAGGTGCATCACAGCTACTGGTTCTGAAACCACGCAGCACTTCTCCAAGAGAAACACATATAACCAGCACAAGAAAAGCCTAACCATGCCACTTAGATCATAATGTTGACCGAGCATATTATAGAGCTGATTCTCAACATGACGCCATTATTTGAAGAGGAATTTTAAATGCATTCCGAGGTGAGATCAATAGTATATCTAAAACTGAATCATCCCCATTGGTTTCTGTGTTATATTTGCAATCTAGGTGATGAAAAGTGAAAAAAAAATCAATTGTTCATATATTTTGTTCTATCAGTTCATTATGTTATTGCAAAAAAAAATGCTGCTAATGCTACAGACCGACTTTATTTCACAGGCGTTTTCTGAAATGTTGAAGATAAGATTTCAGTTGATTGATGGGTAACTGTAGAGACAAAACATCACTGTTACAAAACCGTAAAAACTGACTTCATCTTGTGGTGGCTGGAGGTCTTTGCGGTACCTTGTATGCTTTCATGAGGTCCAGTGGGTCCACCTTGGGCCCCTCCAGTGAGTCCTGGTTCTGTAGTATCGTTCGCACCGTCTCCTCCATGCTGTGGTCAAGAAAACACAAAGAGGCAAAGTGGTTTAAGTAAAATCTACTCAATGATTGATGAATGATATCAATCTCTACAGAGCATGTAAAAGGCTGATCATCAGGGGCAGTTAACAGGCATACTTCATATTTTAAAGTTATTTTTTAGGCCCCGCCAGAACTTGTAACCATAAGAGGTTGCAGGTCGATTGGCATGCAATTGCAAGAATGTTTGACTTTGGTGTGACGACTGAGTTTGTGTCATGCTAGCAACTGTGCTTACATGCACTGCAGCTGTGCTTAGGCTTAGTGGTGCTCTGAGCTAAATGCTACCATCAGTTAACGGGCTTGCAATTGCAATGCTAACATGTTTAGCAAGTACGAATTTGTATTATGTCCCATTGGCTAGGTTATAATAAACATCAAGCATATAGCAGAAGCTGTATGGGTCAGTAACTCCTCCATGGTTGGTACATACGATTGGCCCTGAAACACTACTCTGTGGGTCTCAATGCTGATTGGTTAAGTCTGGAATAACTCAGGACAAAACACGCAATTCTTCCGTTCTCTGGATGTTAACGTCAAACAACTGTGTTCTGTATAACATTGGCGTCTTCAACATAAAATTCAACATTAACTCTCAAATAACAAACCTCTAGTGTTGTATTGCCCATTTGTTTATAGAATTGGAGTAATGCCTAGTAACCAGAATTTGTCATAGCTTTGGCGCCCTCTGAGTTAATGTAGCAGTCAAAACTGTCAGACAGCTCAAATGAAGCAAAAGGACCAAAGGGCTGATTATAGGGCTGCACCTGTAAGCATTTGCACCACCTCACATTTGCCCCAAGCACTCATGTCAGGATATTCTGATGTCTAGTGACCAGAAAAAAATGAACTAAAACACAAAAACAGAGGAAAAATTACAGGTTCATCACCGTCATTTGGATTTAACATCTGGGGACCAAGAACGATTGTAGAAAAAATGTTTGCAAACCAATCCAATATTAAGTTATTGAGAAATTTCAATGGACCACCTTGTTGACTGAGCCATCCCTTAAGCCTTGCAACAAGTAAGGCTGACAAACATTCATACAACAGCGTGTGTTTCCAAGACAATCACAGTGGAAAATTTAGGTTTGTTTACTCACTCTTAGAGCATTCTCGGTGAAATTTGGACTGATCTCTGACTGCAGCCCTCTGTTCTGAGGTTTGTTGATGGAACAGTGCCTTTGTTTACATCTGACTAACCGACCAAATGTCCCTTTATGTAATAGTTTATGACACTGTATGGAGACGTTAACAATGTCTGCTGTACAATCTAATTTTTTATGGCTCACTGGACGCAGTAATGAAGTTTGCTAATTGGAAGCAAAGGTGTAGAACTGGGGGAATGCGAAGCTGATAAAGCGGTCGATCTATAATAGAACGTCTTCACACTTCATAATTTTATGCTGACTGCATGAAAGTTTGACATCATCATCGGAGGAGCTGCCCGAGAGATGCCTTGACCTACGGTGTTCCACATTTCCTCATCCATACCCGATGACAGAAGGTAGACTGGTAAAAGAAAAAGAGCCGTGAGAGGGTGATGATATGAAAAAAAGCTTCGTATAAGTCATACGTGATCATAGATCCGCTAGTAAAATGCTAAAAATGTTGATTGATGATAAACAAGGAAAATGTGTGTTTATCTGATTTCCTGAAATCACCACGATTCTCTAACTTGTTGTCAGACGTATTCATGAAAAATTAAACACTGCCCCTTAAACATACAAAAACTGATGGAGGAAGTGGAAACCAGACGTCAACACAGAGCGGTACTCCTGATTTATAATGCTGATGTGGCAAACATGTTAGCAAATTCTTTCAGCAGATATTGAGCAACATTGGGTTTCATTGAAAATATCCTGTAGCTGCTGAAGACGCCACCATGTACACCAGGCAGTTGTTAACTTTGTCTGGTGTTGGAAGAATTCATTGTGTTTATGAGGTGCTGCCTGTTTGTGACGCATAACAGTAAAATTATAGCTAATATTTCTAAAAAAAACAGTTGTACTGCTTTGATATTCAGGCGGCATCTCACCCAATTCAAACTCGTATTTAAAGATGGGTGACATACGATCCGATGTACAACATAGAAACCTACACCTTGAAGTGCAAAACAACCATTAAAGCCCTGTTTTCCGAAATGCACATATTAATAGGACTCCAAAATACCCATAATACTTCTGTTGACATTTCCTCAAAAGGCTCCACTGTATCAGTGTGGCGTTGTGTTCGCCTGTGATTTGGTAATTGTTTTCCCTCTGAGCGGTGTATGCTTGATAGACGCTGACCATGTTTCCCCGTAAAGTCGCACGCAGTGACATTTTGCCTCGTCACTTCACGAGCAGCCGTTTCCCCTGTTTGATGCATGTGGCACGGCCATTAGCGCCAGTGTAGCCGCTGACTGTGAGCGCGCCATTAGCTCCCCCGCCCCGAGTCATTGCCACTGACCTGAAACAAACCCGTCCGGAATGGAAACAGCGGGTGAGGTGGCGGTTGGAGGGAATAATGCAGAACTCTAGGATTCTATGCGCTCAAAGTCTAGATAGATAACTTTGAACACATTACTTATTTTATTCTGTCTGAAAGGCCAGATGTGAAATGCAGATGTTCTCATGTGCTGCTCAATGGTTTCAACGGGCCATTAGCGCTGTCAGAGGTTGGAAGTTCAAATTTCACTGGGAGTCTGCATTTGTGGGGCTTCGACTGAGCCGCACTGGATCTGAGTGTATCCTCCAGATGAAAGATGCTATAAAACTTTAAATTCATGTCAGACCACATGTGGAGAATTTACTGCAGGATCTACTGTGTTATGGAGTCGAATGCTGTATGTCTGTGTCATGGTAATCCTCAGGGCTTCAGCAAAAGGCAGCTCGACTTCCTTTTAGCTTCTTAAAGACGTTTAACCTCTCATCCAAGAGACTCAGAACCGAGGAAGCGGCCTGAATGAGAAGTGAAGCATCTTCAAGAACCAAAAAAGAGGTCCAGCTGTCTTCTACGAAATCGTTGACTGCTGCAGTTTGTGCATGTTTATATGATGTCACAAGATCATTTTTGAGAAAAATGAACAGTCAGTCAGCTTAATGCTAACATTTGCTCCGCTGAGTTGGATCTATTTTCTGAGAAATAGATCCTCATTCACCAGCAACAGCAAAAAAAACAAACAAACAAAAAACTAAACACGTGTCAGTCAAACTTGATGAGGAGCAAATCGGACTCTGTCTGAAGAAAACAAAATTTAAAGTTGGGTTAAATTTAAAGTAAAATTTTGCTTTTTAATTTTGTTTTTTTTATGTATTTAAAACTGTAAAGATGCTTCAATGTTGTGTCATAATCTGAATGAGTTCTCCCAAAACGCTGTGAAGGGACAGACAACACAAAATGTTGATTCATGACTAACACTGCATTGGTTGTTGACAACCTGTATCAGTGTCATATGACGTTATACAACTCTGACCTGCAGCTGAGCTCTATGACACCGCATCGCAGCCCAGTCTCACAAAAAAAAAAATGTAATAGCTACATTGGTCCACACAGCAAAAAAAGCTGCGAAATTATAAAAAGTTAATGTTTTTATAGAGGCAGATGTCATCAAACTAGCAATGTAGAAAACAACCCTGTGTAGTTTAATGCAATCCATGATCTTTTCCTAAACCTAACCAAGTAGTGTGGTGCAGAAGCTTCACAAACTAGTTTTGTACAGAAAAGTAAACTGCGACTGAAAACAACATTGGTCAAACCCTGTGGTTTATGCTCCTGTGGACTTTGTTGCTCTTTATATGGTGAAAGAAACTTATGAGTCATGTGACATGAAACTTGCATAATAAATGACATGGATGCTGGCTAACAGAAAGACTGGGCATCTGATTATTTTACAGCTTTCATTGTGAAACTAATCACTTTTTACCTTTACATATCCCAGTGTAATTTAATATGGCACTTCATTTTCATCATTATGTTTTTAGGAAAAGTCAATACTGTCACATAATTTTGCATATACTCATTGCACTACTTTTAATCATTCATATTTTTATGCATGTTTATATAACTATTGTGCAGGTTCTGTAAAGATTGTTGTAGTCTGCTGCACCTCTTCCAACATGCAGCCACACCCCCTCAAGACTCTGTTTTTAGTACAATAACAGACTCAGTAAAGACGCAACATCATTGGCGTCACCTTTTCTACATGTCCACTGCTGGGGTTAATGGAAAGCTGAGATTACATCAAGTCCAGAAACACAGGTTTCACTCACTTCTTTTCTCTGACAAAGAACATTTATGGTTGGTTATGTCAAAAAAAACATTTTGCTGTCTCTTCTCTTACTCCAGTAGTTTTTTCAGATACTTTCATACTTCCCATCTCTCTGCATCGCTGACCTCTCAGCTCAGCCGTCTTTTCGACTCGTCCCTCAACAACCTGAATAGAATTAAACATTTGATGCCATCCTCTTTCACCACCAATCACCGAAATGGCAGTACAAAGGTCAAATCTACAGCACTCACTCCATCAGAGTAAATCATCCTGTGTGCCGTCTATAAATAAATAGAATGCAAAATGTCATAAGTAGCATTATACATTATTCAGTTATGTTTTCACAGAACCTGAGTCTCAGCATCTCTAAGTGCAACTGTCACAGTACCAGAGCTGGTCGTCTTTGTCTCACCACACCTGCACTTCATGGAGCCACACAAGCCCACCTGATTCCTATCAAAATTCATGTTATTCTCATCAATATTTCATTCATTGCCATCACTTCCTTCCCACTCATTCCTCACTCACCCCATGCTGCTCTCCTACCGAGTGCTAGTCATTTGAAATGAGGCTAACCGCACGAGTCCTTGCCGCTTTCAGTTCACAGTTACTCGTCATTCCACGTTTGCGGTTGGGCACCGAAGGAAAAGTGGGTCTGCTGGGCTCTCTGTGGATTGTGTTGAAAATGATGCGCAGCTGAGTGCCCTGAGAAAGTGAAAAAC